TCATTTGCATAATCTCCCTAGCAAGAAGGGAATTATCCGATATCCACCGGCCTAGTACAAACTGTTGGTAACCGAATCGAATTCGGATGCGGAAGCGTGGTGGTACGGGGAAGCGGATCGTGTATAACAAAAATTTTCATAAAACCTTTGAGATACTCTATAAATTATATTAATTTATGCACGAATAAATTAATCTTATTAATTTATTTATTAAGAACTCAATTAGGAAAAATACATGGAGGCCGACTCAGTTGATAACTTAAGTTCTTTGAACTCGAACAATCCTTGCTCCAAAGCTTTGTGTTTAGAAAACCAATGTCTTCCACGTCAATTTCTAGAATTCACGAAGACGTGTGTGTGGGCACACATGAGACAAAACGGGTTACAATAAACACTCGAATTTCCACAAACACCAACGCATGCACGATTTGAAATTTTTGGAGAAAAAATTTTTCCTTCCCTTCTACAAAGAGAATTTCGGCCAGCACTATCAAAATAGGGCAAAAATTGTTTTCAAAAATTGTATCCATAATTTTCTACAATTCTCTTATTTATAGAGTAGAAGTCAAACTTCTAGAAGGAATCAAATCTCTATCTCCAATTTGAATTTCGAACCAAAATTCTCCCCTATCTTTTCTTCTTACGGCTGGCCAACCATAACGGGATTTTATCCCTGTGTAGGCGCCAATATCAGATAGGGAAGTAAGAGAAAAATCATCCTTTATCATGGAGTCTAATTTTGACTCAAATTTAAATTCCAATTTAAGTCAAACTTAAATTAATTTAAATTCTAAATTGAACAACTTATCAAATAAGTTTAAATAGATAAATCTAGATGTGTTCAAATTCAAATTTAAATAATCACATTATTTAAATAATAATTAATTCTTAATTAATTATTTTTGAGTATTTAATTTTAGAATTCCGTAATTCTAAAATTTTTTTTGTGTCTGGTAGAATTACTAGGACGACGTGGGCACTAATGGACCTATAATCCCGAGCTCCAATAAAATTAATAATTAATTAAACACTTTAATTAATTAATTAATTCTATTAATTCCAATAGTTACTCCACTATAAACTTGGAATTGCACTCTCGAAATTATAGACGTAAATTACTTCTAAATTGTGAAGTGTCCATTTGATATGGTCATTGCATATAGATCAATCATCCATAAATAATTCATAATTAGAGCAAGGTAAAATCCGTTAACCTCTCTAATTACTTCTTTATCCTTGAGTACCATTGATTCTCTAATGGACAGTGATTCATAAAACACATTCATGAATCGGAGCTCCTACTGGTCCAAGTACCGAATCAACCCTCAAGAGAATTATTTATCTACTTCTTTCTTAAGAAGGAATGGATTCCATTTGTAATAACATTCCCGGCTACCTACTTCATCATGTCTCCAAAATACAAGGAATAGGATTCAGGATCTCAGAATCCGTACCGAGTAAATCAAAAGACACAAATCCATAAATAGGAGTTTGTTAAGAACTCAGGATTAAGATCATTCTATATATGACCATCGGTAGACTCAATTAGAATTTCTATACTTAACAGAAATTATTAAAAATTCATATTGTGTCTGTGTCCTTGTTCCACATAATCTCATTATGTGAAATATACTCATTCAATATCTCACCATATTAACAGTGCAGATAACACCGTTCCATTCTAAATGAGAATGACATGTATTAATAATGTTTTAATTAAAGATTCTGAACTTTAACTAAATTCATTATGAACATTGCCTTTTGATTATTATCCTTAAACATTATCCTCTCGTATATGAACACAATTTTTTAAACAATTTTTCTACCCTAACTATTAGGTGGCCGAAATTCTCAAAGGAAAAAAAGAGAGGAAAATTTTTTCTCCCAAAATTCCACATCGTGCATGCGTTGGTGTTTGTGGAAAAATTTGAGTGTTTATTCAAACCTGTTTTGTCTCACGTGTGCCCACACACACGTCTACGTGGAATCAAGAAATTGACGTGAAAGACTTTGGTTTTCTAAACACAAAGATTGGAGCAAGAATTGTTCGTGGTCAAAGAACTCAAGTTATCATCTGAGTCGGCCTCCAGGTATTTTTCCTAATTGAGTTCTTGACATATAAATTAATGTGATTAATTTATTCGTGCATAAATTAATATAATCTATAGAGTATCTGAAAAGTTTTATAAAAATTTTTGTTATACACGATCCGCCTCCCCATCACGCTTCCGCATCCGAATTCGATTCGGTTACCAACACATATCCCCTGCAAGGCTATCAGCCGGAATCAAAAAGCCTCCGAAGTACCCCAATCGCCTAAGAACAAAATCCATCCACCCCACATCAACCTTAGTTTTCATGAGAAAAATAACTTCCGGATTGTACTTCCGGACATAGCCCTGAAAGGCTAAAAATGTCGGGTCTCTTGCGAGACCTCAGAAATTCCACGATGAGACTGACATTTCGGGGGTGGGGGCATGATAAGGTGCGCCTCCTCAGCCTCACATCTATCAAGAATCGTATGGGAATCAGTCACGTCACCTATTGACTTTATAAGATTGGGCTACAGAAGGAAGGCCTAGTCCCGTAGATAGAATGAAAAGACTTAGCATGTGTTTAGAGCAAAAATTCGTGCTATGATTCAGTTTATGATTCGTGACTCGTTATAATATTCTTTTAAAAAAATATACATAAATTAAAAATAATTCTAAATTTATGAACCAAATGAGATAAGGCAACATGACCATGACATTCTCTATAGGAAGCCTAGAGGAGGCCCTCAGGCCCAATAGAGGCCCTCAGGCCCAAAGGAGAAGATACACCAACTTGACTTAGTTCAACGTCAGCAGTACCACCGACAATATTCTCCACACGGTCACATGAGGTAGCAATCAACATATCTTGAAACACACGCTCATGAGGACATCTGGGACGTGTCACAAGGGCATTTGCAGCAAGGCCCAGTTGACTCAGCACGTCTTGCGCCACAGCCTGAGGAAACCCTAGTGCGCTGAGAAACAGCTCCAGCCGCCAAGCTTGACGTCGCCGAAGTACCACCAGCCTCCGCCGTCTGAAACACATCATATCGGGGACCAGAAAAAGGATCTATAGGGTTAAAGCACGTAGCCACACCTGAATCTGTCATTAGCCATGGCCCATAAGCACGAACAGTTGAGTGGGAAGGATAAGAGATTAACTCCGGCTGAGAGAGGGAGCAATTTGCTTGTTCATGACCCAAAATTCCGCAATAGAAGCAAAAATTCTGACTGTCGTTTTATCTTTTGTTTTTCTTGGCGTAAGCATATTATTCGTATAGAACTTGTATATAAGTTGAGAAAAGAAAATAGCATATTTCCCTTTATAAAAAAAACAAAAGAAAAAAATTTAGGGCTTCTTCTTTTGGAGTTTAACTTGAGTATGAATTTTGAGTTGAATTTTGAGTTGAATTTGAGTTATAATTTGAATTAAACTTGTAACTTGAGTTTGTGATTGGTTGTGTACATTTGAGTTATAGTTTGAGATAAAAATCTTTTTAAGTTTGTGTTTAAATGAGTCAAAACTTGAATTTATATTTAGATAGTATTTTAATAAAAACTCAATATTGATGAAAAATTTTAATAGGGTATATGAGTCGAGTTTTATTCATTTTTTCGTTGTCAACGCATAAAAAAAATCATCTCAATCAGAATTAAAACGAAAAAGTTATAATATTTTTAAGAATAGAAAAAATATTGTTTATTAATTTGAGTTCAAGTTTCTAAACTCGAGTTAAAAGAGAAACTTGAACTTGAATTTTAGTCATAAACTCGAATTTAAACTTAAATAAACATTAACTCGAATAAAATTGTAACTTAAATTATTTTTTAAAAAAATTTTCACTGAACAAGTCCTTAAAGACCGTTTACTGCTTTTAAAAATATATGTTGTTTTCCTCTGCATGGATCCAAAGGATATACACTTGTCTGTTGGGAGAATAAAAACATATAATAAAATTTGGGAGGAAAAAAAAAAGGAGAAAGAAATCCCGTGACTATTGACATTCTAGTAAGATCTCTCTTTGAATGATTCACGAGAAACAATCAACCATGAAGGTGTTCAAGCCTCTACCAATGCCGGTTGAGAGTATTATTAAGTCATTCCTAATGTCAGATATGGTTGGTCAACAACTCCATACTCCATATCTAGGAATGAATAAATTATGATCATCTTTTTTTTAGCAACCATAAATAATACCCACCCTTTGAAGCATTCAGCAGCCCTATGCAAAAGCATATTCTAGATCACGAGAAACAATCAACCATGAAGGTGTTCAAGCCTCTACCAATGCCGGTGGAGAGTATTATTAAGTCATTCCTAATGTCAGATATGGTTGGTCAACAACTCCATACTCCATATCTAGGAATGAATAAATTATGATAATCTTTTTTTTAGCAACCATAAATAATACCCACCCTTTGAAGCATTCAGCAGCCCTATGCAAAAGCATATTCTAGATGATGCTCCACGTCGCTGTTGACCATAATATGAAAACTAAATGCTGAAAAAGGACACAATTCTTTGTATTGAGGCTGAAGTCCTAACATGCACAGATGGCCGAACCACCCATCAATGGTTTTCCTAACTTCAATCAATTGGGTGGGTGTTCCATTTTCCACACCATAAGCATACCTAGACATGAAAGCCAGGCCAGAGTTGTTTTTAATCGAGGATCTGAGGTTTTAGGCACCAAAAAAGAACCGGAATTACCCTTTTATTTCGCGAGTTTAAAGATCCAAACCTCTCTCTCACTCACAAAAGATTTTAAGTTTCGGTTCAATTTTTCAGCTAGAAATTTCATGACATCTATAATTGTTGACATGTCTGTTTATGTCATAAGAATAAAAGATCAGGTCAGAAACATTTCAATCCATTTTAACTCTACTTATCGAACCAACTAGGCAATTCAAACCGTTTATTTAATTTCCTGAGTTTTTCACACAAAAATGTCGTCAGACAGTTCATCCAATTTCCAAACTTCGGTGCATTCCCAATGACCAAATACATATTATTGTAAATATGAGTTTTTTCGTCTTTTATCATTTATACTTATTTATACATAACTGTAGAACAGCAAAAAGGCCACCCATAATAAGCCTCTACAAGAAGATTTTACATCACACAGGGTGCATATTTACCACCCTTAGAAATACCCTCCTCTCCAAACGTTTTCTATGTATTTCTCATACACTAGTGCCAATCCACTACTATCTTGCTCTAGTTTTTGCTCAACTCTTTAATATCTTTCTTTCTTTCCTCTCTATCTTATATTCGTATCTGTTTTTTCTGTATAGTATATTGCTGTTCAAGCGTCTTGTTCTGCAAATATATCCAACAGAGAGAGTGCCTGTAAAAAAAGTCTAATTAGAATTTGCTCAACTGGGTAGGGTCGACTTTGGACAAACGTGCATACCAATCAGATCAAGGCCTAATTTAGGTGAAAATTACCTCTGGCACGTTTAGCTCAAGGCGGAATTTAGGTCCATCATAATGGTGAAGAATTGGCCTGAAAGAGTCCTCCTCAAGTGGTTCACAAATTTTCCTAGTGACAACTCGCACCTTTCCATCAAAAGAATAGTAAAACGAAGTCATTAGAAACAGAAAAGTAAACCCCCCAAAAAAAAGTTAAAGCAAAAGCAAAAGAAGCAAACAGTACTTGAAGCATAAAGGGGAACGAGGAACCATTAACAAGAATCCAAGTACAACAAACAGTTTTAAATCACGTTAAATAATTCCATCAACCAACATAATCATAATTGAATTAAAGTTTAAAGTAGGATCCTATGATATATACCTGAGCAGGAAAACGTGATTCACCAGGGCATTTCTTGTCCTCCCAAGCCATAGGGTCTATGTTACTCCCTCCAAAACTCGCAGCCTGCAAACAGAGTTTCCATTACCAACCATACTTGCAAATGAAAACTAGAGGATTGAAAACTTTTCTAAATCCCAAAAAACCTTAGTCCTCAACACTCAATACCAAACATAGTTGCAAAATAAAACTGAAAATCATTCTAAATTGTCCAAAAAAAAAAAACTATGAATTCGTCAACGCTTAACACAAAACATAGCTACATATCAAACTGAAAATCGTTCCTTTTTTTTTTTTTTTTGGAAGGACAAACTGAAAATCGTTCTTTTTTTTTTTTTTTTTGAAGGACAAACTGAAAATCGTTCCTCTTTTTTTTTTTTTGAAGGACAAACTGAAAATCGTTCCCCTTTTTTTTTTTTTGAAGGACAAACTGAAAATCGTACTAAGTTGTCAGAGAGATCTATGAATTCCTCTGGTCAACATACACGTAATTCCAAGACAATCTCTCTTAACAAATTATTGGGGAAAAAGAGAACGAAAATACAAACCTCAAAAATTCCATGGAGTTGGTGGGTGGAGTAGTTGTAGAGGAAAAGGGGCAAGCCTGGAGTTATTGCCCTGACTGAATCTCGGTAACGAGGAGGTAAACCTGTATGCATAATTTCATAACGAGAAAAATCATCACTTTATCGTTACACCCGAAAAAAACATGATATCGTAATCAATAATTTAGTCTAAAACGAAAAAACTAATGAAATTTCAATTGTTGAAACTTGAATCTAGTTCTATGCTCAGCAAAAACTGGTGTTTTTCATCAGCAGAACACCATATTGGGACCAGAAAAAAAACACATACCAAAAAGTTGTCTCTTGAGATTCTCTTGCATGGTGTCGTTGTTGCAGACAAAGATGTACCCACCAACGGTCTCGTTTCTAGGCAGCGATTCCGACGGCGGAAGCGTCTTGAACCTCTTTTCAGAAGCACTCCTACTCTCCTTATTATCATTGTTACTCTCCCCATTACTCTTCTTGTTTCCATTGCCGTTCTTCTTCCCACTCTTACCTCCATGAACATCCTCGTTCTTCCCACCTTTCTTGTGACTCTTGAGGCTAAAATCGTTGTTAATGTTATGATTATTCAGAGATTTGGAGTAAATTCCCTTGTTGAATCCGCCATTAACCCCAAGGCTAGCGTCTCCAGGACTCTTCCAATCGTTGAACGAGTTAAAGTCGGAGGCTTTCGGCTTTAAGCTGCTCCAGCTATCCTTGAACGAATTGAAGTCGGAGCCACCGGGCTTGAAGCTGTTCCAGCCATCGTTGAAGAGATCGCCGCCGACGCCGCCGCCGACGCCATTGTTAGGGCTCAGATTGTTACTCGCCGGACAGTTGACGCCGCCGCCGACTCTAATGTCGAAATTCCTCCTCTCGTAGGGGCGTTTCGTCGCGTAAGAGCTGCCCCAGATCGAGTCGTTGAGAGAGAGATTCGCGAGGCTCGAAGCCTGGTGGCGAAGCTGATCGCTGAACTGAAGAAACTGGTTGTTGTTATTGTCCATCTCCGGCGAAGAAACAAAACTTCTTCTAAATTTTCCGATCAAAAATCACAGAGAGAAATCGAGCCTAAATTTAGGGATTTTGCAGAAATCATACAAAGCTTTATTAGAGAGAGAAAAGGAAAGTGAGTTTTGTGAAGTGAGAGAAAGAAATGGTGAGGAAATGGAGTGTTATATAAGGATTTTTTTTTTTTTCTCTTTAGACTGAAAATGAAAACAAAGAAATTTCGTGGAAAGACAGTGAAGATTGCGTGTGGATTTGTAAAAGAAGACAGGAGAAAAAAATTAAAAAATGGAAAGTAATTATCGAAGGAGGTATGATAATTAATTAATTATTAGAGACACTAATGTACTGACAGGTTAAAGGCCTGTTTAGTTTAGTTTACTTTGCTTATACAAATTTTTAATTTAAATTAAAATATAATTTTATGTAAAATTTTTTTATTATAATAAAAAAAATTAGATATAATTTTTAAATTTTTAATTGCAGTGAAATTAAAATTGATGAGCGAGGTGTTAGACTTGAAAACCTCTTCCAAGCACCGATAAGTCACATCAAAGTTATTTTATTTTATTTTATTTTTGGTTTTGCAGACGGAAGGAAATTAGGAAGACAAAACAGTCTGATAAGAGACAGGAAACGACAAAAAAACAACATAGCTAAGATAAGAGCACATACTTTCCTCGTCCAGTTCAATGACTTTGAAAGCCGCTCCAAGTTGTGTCAATAAATTCTTCACCCTCGTACAGTACCCACAATAAGTTTTACTGCCAGTAATTCATAATTAAAACAAACCAAAAAAAAAAAAAAAAAAAAAAAAATCACCAGAAA